TCATGCCCCCCATTCTACACACACTTCTTTTCTGAAAATGTGTCCTCATTCTTTGGCACCTAGAATAAATTTCAGCTACCACATCCCATCCCTATGTGTTTCTTCAGACACAGTTATTACTTTCTTTGGAGATTCTCCTCCTCTAAGTTTTTGTTTTTGTTATGGGACATGTGCACTTGCCAGAGACAGAGAGAGAAAGAGAGAAAGCAAGAAATCTCCCCCCAGGGGGGATAGTTTCTCTAATATTGAGTTCATTCAGGCCCTCCGGACCTTGTTTAGACTTTACAGATTTGATTCAGTCCCTTGGTTATATTAAGTATTTATGCTTCATCTCTTTAATGAGATCACATGCAACAGGAAGAGAGACAGGCCTTTAGTTTGGCATCTTACATAGAATCTAACACAATATTTACTTGATAAGCAGGGGCAATTTTCAAACCGTAATCATAGCCTTGGATTACAAAAAATACAATGAGAAATAAGGCCTGGGATAGATGCAATTTTGTATGTAACATCACGCAATTAGGTTCATCTCTCTCAACCTCATTCCTCGTCTGAAAATTACAGATAACATCTACTTCACAGTATTGTGTCAAGTGAGAAAATTTATGTGAAAGTCCTTTGTAAACTGTCAAATGCTACTTAAGAAGGAAGGAAGGAAGGAAGGAAGGAAGGAAGGAAGGAAGGAAGCATTAATAGAACTGCCTATCCACGTGTTTTTCAGTTTCACTCATATGCATAAGATGATGTTTTTAAACAGAGGCCATGGTTGTAGTGTCAAGAATTCAAATATCCTTTTTTTGGAAAGCCACCTCTGAAGACACCCTGCATGTCAGTTAGGTGGCATTCTACTGAGGTCCTTCAGCTCTCTGTACCTGCTCCTCCAAGGCAATTCTTACAGTCATTTGTTCGACAGACAATGGAGTGCCTGTTACTGTTCCAATGACCCAACCTAAAAGAAACAAACTCTGTGCTTTAACAGAGCTTACAAAAGAGACAGAGACAGAAAATAACAACTATGTAATGGTAAAATTTGCTAAAAACAAAGCAAGATAAAGAGTAGACCATGGCCGGACCCGGTGGCTTAAAACTCACGCCGGGCGCGTGTGCATGCGTGCCCAAGATCCCGAGAGGAGAATGGAGGAGTAGGGATTGCGGCGTGACCATCCCCCCTGGGGGGTGATTTCTCGCTTTCTGTCTCTATGTCTCTCTCTGTCTGTCTGGCGAGCGCACGCGCCCTACAGTGAAAATCTCTCCAAAAAAAAAAAGAGTAGACCATGGCAGGGAGGGTGGATTTTAGGTAGGGTGACAAAGGGAAAAAGCTTCTTATGAGGAGACCCTCGGGGAAGCCCTCAAGGAAAAGGAGCCCATCACGTAGACATGCGGGGAACGTGTCCCAGGCCAACATTAGAAAGGTGCACAAAGGTCCCCGGGGGAAGGCGGCTGTCCGTATTCAAAAGAATACACAAGGTCAGAGAGGCAAGGCCAGAGAGGAAGTGGAAAGGGGTTAGATGAAGTTAGACGAGCATGCCCAAGACGAAATCTACCACGGAGAACCAGAATTTACCATCCTGTATTTTGCTTCATCATTTAACTGCTCTTCCTTCCCATTAAGAATCTCAGCTCAATCATCAGGGATCATATTTACCTTATTCATTGTCTTAGTCCTCAGATCATCGTACTGTGCCTATCATCAAGTGGATATTCAAATGTTCATTGAGTAACAGCAGGCTAACATACGAATCTGGAAATTCCATTGATCAGTGTAGTGCCTTCAGCTCCACTGATACCGAAACGAAAGGCTAAACCTACCAGTTGAACAATGACCTTAGGAGGTATTGGGTTGTTGGAAAAATCATCTATCTAAAATCTATCTAAAAATGTGTCACAATTTTTCAGTGACCCAGTGGACGGCTAAGTGAGGTGACCATCATCAGCTTTCTGAAAGCGAAGGTTGCTGACTGACCCTGCTGTGGGTCCGCCGGATCACAGTGCAATCCGAAGCCACTTCAATTACTCTCCTCAGGAATGAGACAGAGATCAGGAACTCTGTAAACAAGCTAGGACGGGGGCTTGTGAAATAAGGGAAAGCATGACGAGGATCATTTCTGCGTAACTCATAGTAATCAGTTTTTCTGAAAACTGAGGAAATTTTCAGGAGAGAGTCCAAAAACTCTACTAAGCTCAACCAGAGAACCACTATAATTAACAAAAAGCTAGGGCGGCCAGAGGGCGTGGTGGTTAAGGGGCTAGACTCCCACACAGTTGACTGCAGTTCGAGTCCCAGACATGGCAGCAGCTTGAAAGTCACACCAGGCACATGTGCGTGCATGCCCAAAATCTCAAGAGAAGGGAGGAAAGGGGATTGTGACATGGCCATTTCCCATCCGGGGGATGATTTCTCACTTTCTCTCCCACCCTATCTCTCTGCCTCTTTCCTCTTCGGGGAGCACAAGTGCCGTATGACAAAAGCCTTAAAGAAAAAAAAAAATAAAAGAAAAGGGTGTGCTGTGGTAAGTTCTGATACTGGCTGTCCGGGCTCCATCACTGCCAGCCGCATAACACACAGCCGAATTTATGTTATTTGTCTGGTCCTATATTTGCAAACCTTGCCATCGTAGGTGGAAACGTTTAACCTCATGCATATTCTGAAATGACTATGGAAAGCACTAAAATAACCACCACCCAGGATAAAGTGCTAATTTTTTCAGTGGTGTAAATATTAGTGCAAAATATAAACAAGGAAACATATTTTTTAATAGCAACCTTGGGTTCTTAATTTCATTTTCAGAGACTTTAAGTATTAAATATACTTCAAAGTCACCTATCTCTACCGTCATCATTTTTCAGGGGTGTGGACGGACTAGGGCCTGGAGTTCAGAGTAACCTGTTCAGGGTCACAGAGTCCACTGGAAACTGGAGGACAAAAGTGTTCAGAATCTGTTTCCCCCAATTAGACTGTGTTGTCATCCAGGGGCAGGACTGGGATCTCTGGTTATTCTGAGCCAGAGACTGCACTCTCAGGGTTCTGCACTCCATGAGCATTCAGTAAGTAGTAAGAAGATTTGCTTGCAAAAGCTAAACTCAGTTCTTATTTACAAAGAACAGCCAGAACCCAGCTAGAGCGAGGTAGAAAGAAGACATCCCTGCTCAGCAGCCATGGTATTTGTTGAAGACTAAGCCCTCATGTGGCTGCAAGTGGCCAAAGTACTACAATCGATACAGCGTAATCTTTTAAATAGGACTGGCCTCTAGTTAAAGTCTTTCACCCAGGAAAAGTGCGTTCATTATCTAGTTCCTGAATGCTCGATTAAGCCAAAATTCAGCATTTGCCCAAGTCAGCAAATCATCAATTCCTTTATTAAATAAATCCATCCTCATTATAGCTAAAATGTAGAGATAAGGCTCAGACCTGACTCAGATGTTTTCCAAAGTTATTCACAAACACATTACTTCGGCATTTCTTCCACGTTTGAGAAAAATGTCAAAAAACAACATTCTGCAGCGTTTTATTTTCCAAGCACAGACTACAGCAGGGTTCAATTACTTGGAATATACATGCTCCTGGGTAGCGTCCAGTAGTCGGTGAAACCTTCCACATGCTGGTGCCAGCCAGGGCTGCAGGAAGCACAGTTCTTAGTGACTGCCTATGTTTCCCTTTGTTTGTCTCTTAAACTTTCCCTAGCAGGGTCAAGGCTAACGTAACAGAATGTCTTGTATGCGGGCCAGGTTCTCCTCTCTCATGTTCTGCTCATATCATGTTCCAAGAAAGTTTTAATGGTAGGAAAATTTTTTTGCAACTTTTCATTCTTCTCTTCTCATTGCATCTTCTTTATTCCTTTATTTCTTCCTTTTCCCCCTCTCCTTAGTCATACAAGCTCAAATATATCCCCCTGGGTTGTGCAGTGGAAAAGGAGCAAATGTGTTTGCATTCAGCCCAGGCTAAGGGTGGGAGAAACCGAACCCAGGCAGAGAGCAGAGAGAAACTGGTTAGGTTCTGCATCGGGGCCAACGGGGGGGAGGGGGGTGAAGGTGAAGGAAGAGCAGTCATGATCTACAATTAGGTTTTGGCTTTCCTAATAGTCGCTCTTTCCACTTGGAATGTCAACATTTCAGAGGACCAAATGTCTAATTCTTTTTTTAAGGTGTCTATTCTTTCTCACGATACAGTACGCCTGTGAAGTGGGGGCCAGGGTGAAGTCGGCTCTATCACAGGGGGCTCACGCACACATGGAACACCCCTGGCATCTGTCCTGCGCTCACACACAGCACGCGAAGGCATCACTGACCCCGTGGATCTACACTTGCCAATGGAGTCAGGAGCCACTGGTGGATAAAGGCTATCCATGTGACATGCACTCTGGACAGATTCTTAGATCTCGGCGGGTCTCGTCCCAAGTGGTGACCAACTTAATAATGTATCCTTGTAGTCGCTTTCTCTCCATCTGTGTTTCATTTTCCCTAGCCCACAGTACTGGTTCCTGAGTATACCAGGTTCTGCTTTCCAGTGGTATCTCAGGTAAAACTATAAAGACCGTCAAAATCAGGAGAGGAAACTTTCTCAACATGTAGGGCCAGCCCCCTTGTCCCAGTGAAAACACACTCCATGCCAGCTTGTAGTTCCAGCTTCCTCGCCCACAGTGCTAGGAATGAAAGAATGGGAGAAGCCCTCTGAGGACGAGGGCTCCATTATATCTTGAAGAGCACCTTTAAAGTCTGGAATAGCCAATCCGAGAGGAAAAGTCATGGCCAACCTCCCTCTACTCTCTTCTGTAAGAAATTCTTACAAGGACCCAATGCTAACTCTCCAAATGGGATACAATGTGCTTGAGCTTGAGCATGTACAATACACCTTTGGGGTCCCTTTCACCCCCAGCAGAGATCGGTAATAGGAATAAAGAATATTTTGAAATCTGTATACTGCTAAATAATTCAGAAGTAGAAATGAGCTGATAATTTCCATTCTCTAGCTAAGAAAGGAAATGCAAAGATTTACTCACACGTCATTAAATTCCTCCAGAGACCTCGCAGGTGTAAAGACATCCAACAGACCAATCACCTATAAGAAAACATAAAAGTCAAACAGTTAGTAAATATTGAACTTAGTATAATACACATCAGGTCTTTGTCATTTTAAATGGAACTAACTCCAAATTCAACCATCTCGGTTCAACGATATTACAACTTCATATGCTCAATTGCAACTGATTCTCTACCCAAATTACTGGCAGATAATTTGGGTAAAAAATAATTTGGTTTCTACTTGCTAATATCCCATCTCATGATAACCTATTTTACCATTAAAAATCTTCATCTCTAGAATTTAGTTGCATATACCCAACAGTTTATCAAAAGGCAAAAAGATTTAAGCTTCTTGCCTTACCACAGTAATGGTCTAATGAACCCACAAACAAAGGGGAAAAGATCAGTTACACTTCTGTAGTCATTACAATATTTCACTGTTTGTTTGGGTTTTTTTTTTTTTTTGGAAAAGTTTTTGCTATAGGGCATGTGTGCTTGCCATAGAGACAGAGAGACAGAAAGCAAGAAATCACCCCCAGGGGGGATGGCCATGCTGCAATCCCTTCTCTTCTATTCTCCTCTCAGGATCTTGGGCACGCACGCACATGCACCCAGCTTGAGTTTTAAGCCACCGGGTCTGGGACGTGAACCGCGGTCAACTACGTGGGAGTCCAGCGACATAGCCATTAACCTAACTGCTGGGCCCCCCCCCCCAATATGTCACTTTTTTTTTTTTTTGGAAAAGTTTTTGCTATAGGGCATGTGTGCTTGCCATAGAGACAGAGAGACAGAAAGCAAGAAATCACCCCCAGGGGGGATGGCCATGCTGCAATCCCTTCTCTTCTATTCTCCTCTCAGGATCTTGGGCACGCACGCACATGCACCCAGCTTGAGTTTTAAGCCACCGGGTCTGGGACGTGAACCGCGGTCAACTACGTGGGAGTCCAGCGACATAGCCATTAACCTAACTGCTGGGCCCCCCCCCCCAATATGTCACTTTTTAAAATGTTTTCCACCAGGCCAGCAGGTGGCATGGTGGCTAATGTGCTGGACTACCACATGGCCAACCACAGCTTGAGTTCCAGACCCAGTGGCTCAAAAATCACACTAGAATTATGTCTATGTATACCCAGAATCCCAGGAGGAGCATGGAGGAAAAGGGATTGTGGCATGGCCATCCCCCATGGGGGGGGGGGGGATTTCTCACTTTCCCTCTCACTATCTCTGGGGGCACGTGTGCCCTATGGCAAAAATCTAAACAACAAAAAAGTATTCCACCAAAAATTTTTTTTCATGTAAGTATACAGACTTTCAAACTGACTTCTTTACAATTTGCAACTGACACGTAACTGTACATATTTATGGGGTACAACGTGATGTTTGGATACCTGTTTACATTGTTTAACGATTATAAAACTGACATTTCTAAAGCCCCAAAATAGCGTCTCACCATATTTTCACAATAATCTTAGTATTATTCTCACAATAATCTTAGTATTAAGATAATTTTCTTAATCCCTATCAGGTATTTAGATCAGATGATTTTTAATTGCCAGAGAAGAGACAGGGAGAGGGCCGGGGAGAAAACACCCTCCATGGGGTCCAGTCATGCTGCAGTCCCTTCTTCTCATTTCTCCACCCTACTGGGATTTGGGGCACACAAGCACATGGGCCTGGGGTGTTTTACAAGCCCCGGGGCCAAGCCTCAAACTGTGGTCTCATGTTTTCAAGTATTTCTTTGGTTGGCCATATGGGATCTAGCTCCTTTAACCACCAGGCACTAGGATCAGCTCTAGATCAGATGATTTAAAAATGAAAAAAAAGGGGTCAGACAGTGGTACAGGAGAAAAACATGTTGCTCTGTAAGGCATCTCACACAAGAAGGTTCCTGGTTCAAGTCCAGAGACCTCTCCTACCACGCCAGGCACACTCCTACCCATGATCCGGGGCTGGCTGAATGCTGGGGGTAGATCATGGTGTCAAGACCCTGCTGGGAGTGCTTTCTCCCCTCCTCCCCTGCTTATAAAATAAATAAACTTGAAAAAGAAAGGAAAAAAAAGGTTATCTTTATACACAGATAAAGAGCTACTTATTACTCAGCAATCCATTGTCTCTGAGCAATTTTTCCAGCCGCCGAGTTACACTGGCTTATCCATATAGAGCACCTCTCCCCCAGTTCTCCCCTAAAACACGGACCACTCAGTTCTACAAATTGAAAACAAGAAATATTATAGTTAATCTGTATGCCCCACCAAATTTAAGGGTATCTGGATGTGAAATAAACAGAAGTTAAATAATCTTCATGAAAATGGAAACCATGACTGTCCCCTCACTAGTGTGCTGTTCTACAGAGCCAAGTTAAACAAACAGCTCTAAAAGTTAATGCTCAAAACTTTATCATGAAAAAAAAAAAGAACTTCTAATTAGGACATTACTCTGCTCATCCAAATATTAGACTGTTAAAAGCAACTGCAATTATACAGCCTGAACCTGATGAAGGAGCACAGGGTAAGGAAAAGGCTTTGGAATTCAAGGACAATGTCTTTTCAAGTTCATATAAACTGTTCCAAAGGAAAGAGACGGAGAAACTCTTTAGATCCTTACCCAGACAACTGCAAGAAAATCAAAATTACCCGTAATTATACCAGTCATTATAACTATCATTAACATTTTGACGTATTTTCTTCTCTTTGATTCTTCAGTTGTACATAAATTAAACTGGGGTTATACTCTGCAGGATATTGTTTTATATCCTGCATTTTCACTTAACATACAACGACCTCTCTCATGTTTTCAAGTATTTTTCAATAATACTTATGTATGTCATATCTATCATTTGTATATACCATAATTGAAGCAATTTCCTATCTTTTGGACATTTAAGGAATATTGTAATATATACTTTTTTTAATTATTTTAAATTTATTTTACGCTCATGCACCAAACATCATTACAGCTATACTATTTTCACATCTTGTATTTTCTTCCAGAAAATAAATTTTAAGACAGAATTATAGGATGTAAGGATACCAATATATCGGGTTATGGGAAAAGTCATGATGCATTTTTGCATAGAAAAAAATACATCATGACTTGTCCAACCCAATATGTAAGGATCTTAATATTGTCAAATTGTCCTCCAAACAGATGAGACCGATACACCTTCCCACAAATAGTGCATCTGTGCCCTTAGCATGGTACCTTCTAAACAGCGCTTTAAATTTAAGTCAAATCTATTTTCTTTCTCCTCCTCCATCTAAAACACAATTGATTCCTGAGTGTGACACATTCCTGGCTGAAGCTTTGGCCCTTTGATCTCTCTCCCCTACATCTATTTCTACTGAAGGTAGCTGAGATCTAGAAGCCAATTTTATTCTTCTGTCCCAGTATTTTCTAATCACTGATTCTTGCTACCTGAGCTACCCTAGCTCCTCAATATAATAAGAAAAGCTAAAAATAACATGCATTGTTTTACATTATTGCAATCGAATAAACCATTAGAGATCCAATTTATAGAAGATTATTCATGTGTTTCCTCAAAGACAGAAAAACAAAACAAACCTAAAACATCTTAAAGTAGGGACCAGTAGATGGCATGGTGGTTAAGGCATTGGACTCCCATATGGCTGAGAGTGGTTCAAGTCCTGGACCTGGCAGTTTAACCTCGGGCCAGGCACATATGTGTGTGTGCCCAAAATCCCAAGAGGAGAAGAGAGAAGGGATTGCAATGTGGCCATTCCCCCTGGGGGGTGATTTCTTACTCTCTCTCTCTCTCTCTCTCTCTGGGAAGTGCACGAAGCCAATAGGAAAATTCTCTTAAAAAAATTTTAAAAATAAAAGCACCTCAAGTAAAAGTTCTAACTTCAGTTTGAAAACACGAAAGGCATTGTGAAATCAAACACCTGTAAGTTTGACGCCACTATCAGTTTGTGATTTCTTATACTTATGAGCTAAGACTTTGTCACTCTAAAAGTCCAGCACTTGGAATGGTACCTGACATACAACAAGAGTTCGATTAATATTCTGTAAATACGTTTAGTATCTTCTCTGAGTCCTACTTTCCTCAAATGAAAGGCATGGGTATATCATTGCTTATTTTCATAGTACAGTGGGGAAGATTAAGTAGACAACATATCTGAAGGTGTCTGACACAAAGGGCTAACAATGAATCACCAAATAAGCGATGATCACAACCTAGTTTTATAAAAAATTATAATACATAGGGGCCAGTAGATGGCGTAGCAGTTACACCACTGGATTCCACGTGGCTGACTGTGGTTTGGGTCCTGGACAGGCGGCTTCAAAAATCACACAAGGCACACGTGCTTGCGTGCCCAGGATCCCAGAAGGAGAATGGATTGTGAGGTGGTCATCCCCCCGGGGTGATTTCTCACTCTCCCTCTCGCTGTGTCTGTCTGTCACTCGCTCGCTCTGGTGAGTGTTCACACCTTAAGGCAAAAGTCTCTTAAAAAAAAAAAAAAAAAAGGAATTACAATACACATAGGGAAACTACCTGAGTCAGCTACTTCCAATAACAGAATTTGAGACATAAAGCTAACCTAAATTATTAAAATGATTAAAGTATGGAGGGGCCAGTCCATGGTATGGTACTTGGGGTGGCTGGATCTCACATGGCAATTGCGTACTTCCAATCCGGGATTTGGCAGCTTGCGAAACACATCAGACGTGTGTATGTGTGTGCCCCGATGCTGAAAAGGGAGAGGAGGAGAAGGGATGCAGCACGACCATTACCCATGGGGCGGTGCTTTCTCACTTTCCTTCTCTCCTCGCTGCCTCCTGGCCAGTCAGTGCACGTGCCCTCTGGCAAGTCAAAAAAGAAAAAAAAGCATCACTGCAAGAAGCATGATAAACCTGGGGAGGGGAGAATGGAAAAGGCAGACTAGTAAACACCAAGCAAATTTTAATTTCCTAAGAAAGGAAATACTGGGGCCAGCCGGTGGCGTGGTGGTTGGGGAAGCCGGACTCCCACAGGGCCGACTGTTCAAGTCTCAACCTGCCAGCTTGCTCTCTCTCTCTCTCGCTCTCTTTCTCTCTCTCACTCTGTCCCTCTTTGGTCAAATTAAAATAAATAAATAAAGTTAAATAAAACAATTATTTTTTAAAAAAGAAAGAAAATATTTACACTACGTATTTAAAGTATTTAACATAAACACACCCAAAACAATAATTTTATGAGATTAAAACTATCTAATTACATCACAGTGTTTTTAAATTTTCTGGTGGGCTTTAAAATATATCCCTCCTCTAGTAACTATATTCATGGAGTATTAATCATAAGGAAAATACTGTCAAACAAAACTTCCCTAGCATTAAACTAGATCTGGAGAATATTTAAGGAATATTCCATAATCTATTCCCTTTTAGTTTGAATCATATTCCTTTATTCTTTCTGCTATTATATGATTTCAGTCACCTAAAAGTAACCTAGAAATCAAATTGTTAGAAAAGACATTTGCAATACAAATAAGCAATAAATACCTATAATGACAATGCTACAATGGCCCAAAAGCTGGCAAACAGAAGTGATAGATTTTTATTAAACTAGCATACACCTGTAAAAACCACTTTAATTCAGTAGTCAATCAAAGAATACCTAATATCTTTAATGTAACCACTCCAAAACAACCACTTGGTCTCCTACGATAATGTTAAATTTAAATAGAATTTATAAAATAAATGATAAAACAGCTCTTTCAATTATTTTTCAATTTCCGAATGCACAGACCTCCAGGGCTGTCGGTGGGTAGTTGGTGCTGCGTGCCCAGGCAGCACAGGATGCAGCTGGTGGGCAGCCTCGCCTTAAGCTTTCCCTCCAGCAGGTATTCATGAGATCAAGGCCGCAAACCCTACCAGGACCGGGCCAGCTAACTGTTCAGAGAGTAACTCCCAGTGTCAGAGGACACCCCCAGCTGTACTTACTCACCTATAAATGTGCATCCATCATTCATTATCACCAATAGAAACAGTAAATCAAGATGAACTAATTGTGAGTTAGAGGCATTTTTGCGTTTCAAAAAAAAAATCACATGTGCATTCTGGCACCTAAAATGCTATTTGTTACTAATGATTAAAATTTTCGATTGAGGTTAGCAGGTGGCATGGTGGTTAAGGAGCTGGACTTCTACATGGTCAACCACGATTTGAGTCCTGGACCCAGTGGCTTTAAAAAAAACATGCTGGGCATATGTGTGCATGTGCCCAAAATCCTGAGAGGGGAATGGAAGAGAAGGGATTGTGGTGTGGCCATACCCAGGGGTGGGGCAGGAGTAATTTCTCACATTCTCTGTCTCTCTCTCTCTCTCTGAGATGCACACACCCTATTGCAAGACATTTTTTAAAAAATCCTGTTTTTCTCATATTATCAGCCCTTTTTTTTGGAAAGAGTTTTGTAGCCTTTCCTAAATTAGACTGACTACATCCCATCACTCTGTGGCCACCCCACTTCTGATGAGCACAGAATGGCCCACAAGTAACTAGCCTAATATTATATAAAACATTTCAGGACATTTCATTACAGAACACTAAAGTATTAAAAGTAAACATGGTTGCCTCTTATGCTTACTGGAAAAAACAAAGCACAGATTCAGATATCCCCAAAATAATTTTGCCCTAAACACTGGCTTAAATTGTCTATGAAGAAAAGCAAAACAATGAAATGTAGTGCTGGCCATCTCCTATACCAGATGTTCTTAAATTAGCACAGGCTACATCGGTGGGGCACCAGGGCCTCCCAGAGGTGCTCTGGGGTCCCACACACGTTTGGCTTATATTCCATTTGAAAGTATTCTTTATATTTAAAAAAGCTGTGACAGTGTCTCTGTCACATTTATTAATGTGCAATAGAAAATAGCCTACATACTCAAATATGTTCAAACAAATGTAAACAGTCAAGCTGCCAAGATACCTTGATTCTATGCAGACCCAGCAATGAAGTTTCTCCTGCTAGCTTTTTCTACATATCTTGACTTCTTATAAACACGCCAGTGACTAGGAAGGCCGCAGTTCCACACTGAACTTTTTCACAACTCAGGTTTGCACATAGCTGTTTACATGAAATTTTATGCTTAGAAACAGAAATTATTTCAAGCAAACAGGATTCTCTCAATAGTATGCTACCAAAATAAAACACAGAAATAAATGAAAAGCTGCAGCTGTGATTATAGCAATAGCCATAATACAATCACAAATCTAAGTCTCAATACTCTCCATTTAGAAGGAATTTGCACTAATAAAGCAAGTCAAATAAGAAAAAACAAAGTACCACTTATCTACGATGCTCTTTCTCACTATGGAGAAAACAGTTTAATTACTAATAAAGAAAAAGTCTGCATCACCAAGGAATAAAATCACATATTATGAGTTTTCTTCTACGCAGTAATCAGCAGCAGAGCCCAAGAGTTCTAAACTCTTTATTGCCATCGTTTGCTTTAAAATAATCATTTATTTAATTTTATTTATTATCATTGTTCTTCAGTTTGACCAGCAAGAGACAGAGAGATAGCGGGAGGGAGAGTGAGAAGCAAGCTGCCAGGTGTAGGACTCAAACCTCAGCCAGCCATGTGGAATCCAGCGCCTTAACCACCACTCCACCTGCTGGTCCCTCTGTTGCCATTGTGTCTACAATGCTACAAATGTCAAAATATCTTTCATACAGAACTCATAGAAATTCTTAGCTTATTTTGAAATTCAGAAAGACAAGTGTCTCTAGTCGATTGCTTTTTCACTTTCAGGTAATATCCCGATTATTTACTTAGTATGCTAGAATTTACAAGTATTTGAAGAATGGTATTTCTCAAACTATCAAACTGGAGGGAATGAAAAGAAACCCTTAAACAACATGTTTCTGTCACATTTAATAATACCTAAATCTGGAAAGGCTATCTCTTGACGATTTCAAAACAAAAATTATTAAAATTAAGTACTTTTAAGGTTTTGGGTGTTTTTGCCATAGGGTGTGTACACTTGCCAGGGAGAGCAAGAGGGAAAATGAGAAGTCATCCCCCTAAGGAGATGGCCACATGGCAATCCCTTCTCCTTTTAGGATTTTGGGTATACATGCCCATGAGTCCTGGTGATTTTCAAGTCACTGGGTCCAGGACTCCAACCACAGTTAGCCATGACGGAATACAACGCCTTAACCACCATACTACCCACTGACCAAGATTTAACATTTTTAAGTAATACATAAAATAAAAGCCATCCTTAATAGGACTTTTAGTAACCCTAAAGTATTCTACCTCAAATATTTCCCTCAAATAACCCATGATACACACAAAATGCCATGGGTCCCGGCTATTCTGATAATATAGTCTTAAGCAAACCAGGCAAAGAATGCACAGCTTCTTTTTAATATTTTCTCTTAAAAATTCTTGTTGGGCCGACCCATGGCTGGTGGCTAAAGCAGCTAGATTCCACATGGGCAACTGCAAGTCTTGAACCTAGCAGCTTTAAAAACACACCAAGCACATGTGCGTGTGTGCCCAAAATCCCCAAAGAAAAAGAGACAGAGGAGAAGAAACTGTGGTGACCATTGTCCAAAGGGGGCGGGTGGGGGGCGCTTTCTGGATTTCCCTCTCTGTCTCTCTCTGATGAGCATGCACACACACTCTGGCAAATTGGGAGAAAAAAATCCTTGTCAATTTTTGGTTGCACTTCAAAATATGCCCTTTTTAAATTTTTTTACATTTTAATTGCCAGAGGGTATGTGGGCTTGGCAGAGAGAGACAGACTGAGATGGGGGAGAACACACCCCGCGATGGGGAATAGTCATACCACAATCCCCTCTGTTTCTCCATCCTTTGGGGATCTGGCGCACCCACACACAGGCACCCGGCATGATTGTCAAGCCACCGGGGACAAGATTTGAACCGCAGTAAGCCATGTGGTATCTGGCTCCCTTAAGCACTAGGATACAGAGCCAGCCCTAACAAACTGTTTAAACAGTCTTCCCTCTAAAACTTGTTACGCGTAATTAGAACTTTAGGAAGACACAGCACTTTCCAAGGCTTTGAACTGACACAATCCAATGACAGTAAAACGCCAGCTCAGGAAGCGTGCGCCAAAGCTGGATGCGCTCCAACGTATTCCCACTGGCAGTAATTAAAACACAAGTCTTTTCCAGCCTATTGAAGAACAGAGTCTCTTCCTCGGTAACTTACATTTTCGTGCTTCATGTGTTTAAGTAACCGCAGTTCTCTGTAGGTCCTTTTGGCGTGAATGATGGACTGAAACGGTCTGGAGAGCTTCTTCACTGCTACACGCAACCCAGTTTTTGTGTCAAAAGCAGCACTTAAAAGAAAAAAAAAAAAGACATGCCATTAAAGGTGCTCTAAATATTGTTCTTGAGTATATACAAGGCTATTTCATTTCGCAATTAAGTGAGTCTAAAACAAAATACCAAAAAAAAAGGCAAATAGAAAAACTAAAATGACTTGTAGGCCTACCATCTAAAGAACGTTTCGGTTGCTATTTTCGAAACTTCTAGTCTTTTGCATGCATCTAAATCACAAGAAAAACTTATTCAGAAAACTTACTCTGGAAAGGTCCAGGTAGTGGTATTTTAGACTTTGGGAGCTCGAGAGTTTCTGTCGTGACTAGTCAGCTCTGTGACCGCAGCCAGAAAGCAGCCAGATTGAAAAAACAGGTGTGGTTGTGTTCCAGTAACATTGACAATACCAGGCAGCCGGCTGTGAGACAGCCTACTGACTGACAGACACAGAGCTGGACTCTGTCTTCTGCCTGGGATCCCTGGCACCTTGCTACCACAGGCTGCCTGAGCAGGATAAAGGTCAGGTTTCCAGGACAAGGAGCTGGCATAAATATTTCTGGAACACCTGCGAAGTATCTGGCATATTCTAGAGGCAATACAGTGGGAAACCAGGCAATAAAGTCCTCCCCTCAAGGGATGGGGGGGCAGAATTAGATAATAATTCCGACAGTGATGAAAGCTTGACTGCATTCAAAAGAGTAATGGGACAGACGGTGAGCCAAGGGCGTCACACTGCGTTAGCTAAGATATCTGAGGAAGTGTAACTGGGCCGAGAACTGAACGACGAGGAAGTACTACACTAACCAGGTGAAGCTAGAAGGGAAAAGCTTTGAATAGGAAAAATAACAATGGTAATGGAAACATTTATTGAATCTTTAACACAAACAAGTACCTGTTTAAGGACTTTTACATTAACTTTTTTTTTTTTTAGTTTTTTTTTTTTTTTTTGCCATAGAGCACATACATTCACTGGAGAGAGACAGTGAGAAAGAAAGAAATCACCCTCCCCTCAAGTGGGGATGGTCACATCACAATCCCTTCTCCTTCATTCTCCTGGGATTTTGGGCACAGGTGTTCAGTGGGATTTTCAGGTCGCCAGGTCCAGGATTCAAACCACAGTTGACTACGTGAGAGTCCAGCGCCATAACCACTACTGCATCCACTGGCCCCTACATCAACTTTTGAAAATGAACGCCCATAGTCCCACAGGACTCCTATGAAATAAGTACTATTATCCCACCCTCTCCCAACTGAAACACAGAGAGGTTAACTAACTGGCCTGTGGTCACAAAGCCAAAACGAGGCAGAGAGTCTGGATCCGCAGCTCATGCCATTGACCGTTTGTCTATGCGACTTCTCAAAAAAGCAGATGCAAACAAGCAAATGACAAAAGAAATAGAGGTAGGAAGAGTATGGCGCACAGTGCAGGAGCCACAGTGTGGGTGGAGCATGGGGGGTGGGGGGTAGAAAGGGGTGAAGTCAGAGACGTGGGGAGTGCAAACTTGTGATAGCCACAACAAAAAACGTGATGTGCGCTGTTAGTTTTAGACGTTGTCTGGGCTAATTCCATCATCCCTCATCCTGCTGATCTCAGTCTAACCAGCATCTAAAGGCTTTCTGGTCATCTATCATTACCAAACTCTCTATCTCCACTCGCCACCTCCCAATTCGTGATAAATTCCTGCGAATCTTCAACCTTGTTCCCGCACCCTCCCTCCATGTCTACCTTGAAGTCACGACTTCTCTTTGAGCCCTGCCATTAGAGGGCGTTCTCTCTCAGGGCCCAAGTACCTCTTGGCTAGCAGGAGGGTTGTGTGTCTCCTTGCAAACACCACCACATCGCGACTTGCTTTCCGTACGTTTTCTAAAAGCCACGACTCACAACCCTAACAAACCATCACTTCCTCTCTGCTGCTGTTATCCACTGGCCTGGAACTTTCTGGCATTCACTGTAGTTAGTTCCTATCTATTATAAAAGTCTTTCTCCACACCCAACTTCTGTCATCATTCTTGGCAACTTCAACATCCAGATGGAGGGCACATCCAACATCCTCTCGGTTTCCTGACCTCTCTAGGAAACTCCACCTCGTCCAGCCACTCCCTACACACCCTAGCCCTCCAGAAACTATCCCACCTATAAAATGCCAGCACTCACCTCCGCCACCATCTTATCCCTTCTAGTTTCTGTCTAGCTTACTTGAACACTCACTACAAAAATGCGCTGACCCCACCATCACTGCCTGTCTCTATTCTTCAGCCCTCTCCTGCCTTCTTTTCCCCTCCCGTTCCAGCTGCCTGAGCAGGATAAAGGTCAGGTTTCCAGGACAAGGAGCTGGCATAAATATTTCTGGAACACCTGCGAAGTATCTGGCATATTCTAGAGGCAATACAGTGGGAAACCAGGCAATAAAGTCCTCCCCTCAAGGGATGGGGGGGCAGAATTAGATAATAATTCCGACAGTGATGAAAGCTTGACTGCATTCAAAAGAGTAATGGGACAGACGGTGAGCCAAGGGCGTCACACTGCGTTAGCTAAGATATCTGAGGAAGTGTAACTGGGCCGAGAACTGAACGACGAGGAAGTACTACACTAACCAGGTGAAGCTAGAAGGGAAAAGCTTTGAATAGGAAAAATAACAATGGTAATGGAAACATTTATTGAATCTTTAACACAAACAAGTACCTGTTTAAGGACTTTTACATTAACTTTTTTTTTTTTTAGTTTTTTTTTTTTTTTTTGCCATAGAGCACATACATTCACTGGAGAGAGACAGTGAGAAAGAAAAAAATCACCCTCCCCTCAAGTGGGGATGGTCACATCACAATCCCTTCTCCTTCATTCTCCTCCTGGGATTTTGGGCACAGGTGTTCAGTGGGATTTTCAGGTCGCCAGGTCCAGGATTCAAACCACAGTTGACTACGTGAGAGTCCAGCGCCATAACCACTACTGCATCCACTGGCCCCTACATCAACTTTTGAAAATGAACGCCCATAGTCCCACAGGACTCCTATGAAATAAGTACTATTATCCCACCCCCTCCCAACTGAAACACAGAGAGGTTAACTAACTGGCCTGTGGTCACAAAGCCAAAACGAGGCAGAGAGTCTGGATCCGCAGCTCATGCCATTGACCGTTTGTCTATGCGACTTCTCAAAAAAGCAGATGCAAACAAGCAAATGACAAAAGAAATAGAGGTAGGAAGAGTATGGCGTGCAGTGCAGGAGCCACAGTGTGGGTGGAGCATGGGGGGTGGGGGGTAGAAAGGGGTGAAGTCAGAGACGTGGGGAGTGCAAACTCGTGATAGCCACAACAAAAAACGTGATGTGCGCTGTTAGTTTTAGACGTTGTCTGGGCTAATTCCATCATCCCTCATCCTGCTGATCTCAGTCTAACCAGCATCTAAAGGCTTTCTGGTCATCTATCATTACCAAACTCTCTTTCTCCACTCGCCACCTCCCAATTCGTGATAAATTCCTGCGAATCTTCAACCTTGTTCCCGCACCCTCCCTCCATGTCTACCTTGAAGTCACGACTTCCCTTTGAGCCCTGCCATTAGAGGGCGTTCTCTCTCAGGGCCCAAGTACCTCTTGGCTAGCAGGAGGGTTGTGTGTCTCCTTGCAAACACCACCACATCGCGACTTGCTTTCCGTACGTTTTCTAAAAGCCACGACTCACAACCCTAACAAACCATCACTTCCTCTCTGCTGCTGTTATCCACTGGCCTGGAACTTTCTGGCATTCACTGTAGTTAGTTCCTATCTATTATAAAAGTCTTTCTCCACACCCAACTTCTGTCATCATTCTTGGCAACTTCAACATCCAGATGGAGGGCACATCCAACATCCTCTCGGTTTCCTGACCTCTCTAGGAAACTCCACCTCGTCCAGCCACTCCCTACACACCCTAGCCCTCCAGAAACTATCCCACCTATAAAATGGCAGCACTCACCTCCGCCACCATCTTATCCCTTCTAGTTTCTGTCTAGCTTACTTGAACACTCACTACAAAAATGCGCTGACCCCACCATCACTGCCTGTCTCTATTCTTCAGCCCTCTCCTGCCTTCTTTTCCCCTCCCGTTCCATAATAATAACCTGAGCTCACTGTCTCTGTTGTATTACACCTGCCACGATAAAGTCTAACCTTGAGTGATCTCGACCACTTTTTCCTACAAGTGTGAATCCAAGGAACTAACTGTTGTTGGAAGAAAAAAAAGAATGTTCAATCAGACTGGTTTTATTTTTAATTTCTGAACTTAAATAGGCTCTCAGTACTGCCGTTATTTTTCCAGTAAGTTCATTTTCCTACCTCAAAGTGAACATTTAACATCATCTCTCTCAAATCCCCAACTCACCTTCCACCCTCATAACTGCCCTTCCTCGTAGAAAATGGAAACCCTCAGGGGCCAACAGGTGGCAATAGTGATTAAGGAGCTGGACTCCCACATGGTCAACCATGGCATGAGTCCCAGACCCAGAGGCTTGAAAACCATGCTGGGTTCACATGAGTGCATGCCCAAAATCCTAAGGGAAGAATGGATTGCAACTTGGCCATACCCCTGGGTGGTGATTTCTTACTTTCCCTCTCTCTCTGTCTCTGTCTCTCTCCAGTGAGCACATATATCCTTATTGCAAAAACCTTAAAAAGAGAATAGAGACCATCAAAAAGAAGCTCCATCTGTCCGCCACCAAATCTATAAACCTATGTGCACTCGGATCCATCTTCTCTAGCTTCTTTCTTGCTGTAACTAAGGACACATCCCCTTCTTAGCAAACTCAAGATTGTAGTACTTGGTTTGAAGCCATCTCTCTCACGGCTTTCTTCTCAAGGGCTTTGCTCCTTCATTCCCTTTCTCTCTTGCATCATTAAATTTCTCTTTACCTACTGGGTGGGTCATTCTCATCAACATAAATATGCTCTAGTTATTTCCCATCCTCAGCAAACAAAAAACTTCTGTTGATGCTTCTGGCATAATTAAAGTACTCCAAAAACTCATCGACACCAGATGTTCCCACAGTTC